CTACTATGTGTTTTTAATAATGTTCTCAAAGATGTGGCTATAGTTTTCCAAATCATTGTATCTCTTGATGGTTGAAGCTCCCCTCTCTTCTCAAATTGGCATTACAACTAACTTACCATATGTTTTCTACTAAATCAATCTCTTCAAGGACAAATTAAGATATAATCCATCACCAAGAGTTGTATGCATGTAAGAGTTGTCTAACATTTGTATAATTCCATAACTTAAGAATCAAAGTTTTCTTGATCCTTCTCTTAAAAGATATCAATTGATACTAAACTAATCACTTAGAAGATATCAATAAGAAAAAAGTTCACCAGTCAGAAATTCTTGAAAACAACTTTTCTTACTAAAGCAGGAGGCTAAATAATTTCATGGTCCATGGCCATCATCCATGTGCATCTTTTTGGTGTAAGATCCTATAAGAACAATGCTTTGTTATGTGTTGGGCCAGATTGTTGGGGGAGGTTAAACTCATAAGTGGGACCTCCTTGCTTATAGCAGTCAATTACTCAACCAATAGAATTCCAGGTTTTAGCCTCCTGAAGTCCATGCTATGTATTCTTAAAGGAAAGGAAATGCTAGCTTCAAATGCATGGATTAGAGTAGGTAAATGGTACTGCTTTATTGATAAATCAGTTACCTGTTCTTATTTCTTGTTTTATTACTTTCAGCAGGACCTGCACAAGTTGCATTTGGTTTTGGACCTTCATCAAATTATTTTATGACATATGGCTCTTCAAAAGTTGTCCGTAGTAGTAGTAAATATCAAGGTTTGGGTCCTGATGGTTAGTATGCCTCCTTTTGTGGATTTGAGTTTCCAATGAGGCTAAAGGCTTATAACCTCTGTAATGCATTTTTTTTGTAGATGGAGTTCATTCATCAGCACATAGAATGGAGAAAGAATACAAAGAACCCAGGGTAAGCAAACACTAACCTGGCTCCATTCCCAAAATCTCATAATGTGTGTTCACATATACTCTCTCTCTCTCATATGCTATCTTGCAGTTACCCTTGATGGCTCTGTAGGACTACTACTCTTACTATCCTGTTGCCCTTCCTTTGAGAAGGCCATACTCAGCAGACCCAGGTAAGGTTGAGGCACATCTCAAAAGTTACACTACTTTAAAATAGAAAATCTAGGGTATTAGAGTTTGACATGATATTTCACTGCACCCATGGGAATAGGCGGGCACTTTCCTCAACTACATTAGCTTTGTCACACAACTGCATCTTTTGAGCACTTGTTTATAGTATGCAAAAAAAAAAAAAAAAAAGCAGTTCTCAATGGATGCAGCATTTTCTTGATGCACAATGCTAGGCTGCTTGTGTTTCAATGTAAAAGGATAGATTACAAAGCTTTTGCTATAGAAGGGGTGGGAATTTAACTGATAATTTTTAGTAAAAAATTTATTGTCTCTTTTGCATTGAAGCAAATGGAGAAAACCTTGTTGTAAGGTTGCTCATATTTAGCTCCATTACTTTCAGTACTTCTTGATGAGGAGGAATTTGGGGAGGCTTCAGAAGAAATTGCTTATGATGAAAGTTCTGTAAAGTTCGCTACAGAGCTTGACCTAATGGTTAGTAATCATAAAAATGCAAGATCAAATACAGTGTTACAGGAAAGATTTAGAAACCTCTTAAATTCTTGTTCAATGACAGGAGGAGAATAAAGAAGCAAGAATGATCTTCCTTCAGCTACCATCATCTTTGCCCCTAGTTAAGCGGTCAGCTACGGCAAACAATGATGGAACCAATAGTGGTTTGAAACAATTCAGAGGTGGAGTTTCTTCAGAAAAGCCCTGCAAATCGGAAGAGTTGCATGCTGGGTTCATGGGTAAAATGCTCGTATATGAAAGTTGTGCCATTAAGCTGAAGCTCGGGGATATCCTATATGATATATAGTTCCAATCTTGATTCTTGGTTCTCTTTGTAAAAGAAAACTTGGAATATTTTTATACCTTTTTTTCTAGGGGTAATCGAACCATGGGCCTATATTTCAAACCGAACTAGTATCACCAGTTTTTGAAAACTGTGAACCAAAACTGAACCAAAGCCAATCAGTTAATTGGTTGATTGGTTTTTCAGTTTTTTATATTTATAATATATATTATAAATAAATATATAAATTATAATAAAAATTCTAGAAATGCATATAATGTATTATATTATAAATAATATATTATATATTCTATATATATTTATATACAATACATATATATTCATTTATAATATATAGATAATATAAAATATATATGAAAAACATATACAATTCACACATACACACATATACTAGTTAGTTCGGTTAACCACCAGTTTTTTATATTGGTTAACTGAAACTGAACCGGTACCTTCGGTTTTTCAAAAATACTGAACTGACCGGTTCAGTTAACCAGAATTTTCAGTTCGGTTTTGTTGGGTTGGTTCAGTTTTTTGCTTTTTGATGGTCACCCTTACCTTTTTCTTCTAGGTCCATTCTTTCTCATTGTTGTGATTAGATATTTATGTTGATAAAAATGAAACATAAATTCTTATACTTTGAATTTTTTATAGTTGTAAAAATCAAAATGTTTTTGAGAACTTTTTCATAGTATTCTTTGCAAGTCTTATGATATTAACCTATAGGAAGATAAAGTTGTAGCTGCATTTACTCCTTGTTGCCATTTTTCTAGTTATTTCTGCTACCCAATAGGAGTATATTTGTCCTTCCACCAAATGTATTCTGCATTGTTCAACGACCAAGTCTGCCCAAACTAGTACTGGAAAATATTGCAAGTATCTGAATTTCTGTTATAAGAGTAAAAGTAATTCAGTTTTATTGTGATACATGTAGTAACTTAGTTTCTTGCTTTGCTTGCAGGTTTCCTCGGGCATGATTTGTGTTTTTGCTCAGGATGTTGTTGCAATCAATACTGAAGAGAAACATTGCTGTATTCTTGGCGAGCTCAACAAGCGTGCCGTCATAACCCCAAATATTGACTCGATCTTGAATGGTATGACTGACTTGGATTAGTTTTTGCTTGGTTACAAGAGATTTTGGCTTCATGAAAGAAACTTAAGATTTAATAGTTGTTGAGGAAAACTGTATAGCAGCTTGGCAGTTGTTGAGGAAAACTGTTATTTCTTCTTCCTTAAGCTATATCATTCTTCTAAAAAAAAATCATTTGATTCAAGAAAAGTTCATTAAATGCCTTGCTTTTTTATACACAAAAGAGGTGTGTTGGAGTGGTAGGGTTTCATTCATGCTTCTCATCCAAGTCATTGCCCTCCCACAAAAAGACAGTTGAGGATCATTTTCCCAACTCCTTTTAAAACAGGGGTTGTCTAGATGATTTCTCTGTTTGTTTATGTTTGCTAGATGACAGTTTAAAGCAAGTTTCAAAGTATCACAACGTATTTTTGGATGGAATAATATTAGGTTGGACCAGCCTCCAATTACCTGAGACCTCAACCCTATCCCAATCCATGTTAAGATCATACCTTAATTTTCAGACCAGGAACAATCCAGAGTCCAAAAATCTAAGGCCAGTCCATGGAAATGCTTTGGTTGGATCGAGTTAAACCTGCCCAATTTGCAGTCCTAGCTCTAAAATGGTGTAAATCCTTCAATCTCAGCTTCTTTATGGGTCTCCATCAGATGGTAAAGGTTGTCAAATTGGATAGTACATTTAGTATTGTGTAAAATATTTAATCTACCCCTGGGTTTTGTGAAATTAACTGTGCGCTCACTGTTTGCAAGATGACTTAAAAATACCTCTAGGTCTTCTGACAATTGAACACTACTGTTAACCATCAAAGACCTCTTCCTACGTGAGATTCAATTGTGTTTTGGGTAACATTCACTGGCACAGACCTCCCTTTGACGGACTGAGAGTGCTAGGTTTTCCCAACTATAATGTTGGAGACACCGCTCATAGGGGAAGGGTCTGCAAGGGCAAGACTAAAAGGGGAAACATTGGCGATCACAACGGGGTTCAAATGATTATGATCATTCCATGATCTTCGAAAATCCTAACAGATTGACATCTGCTAATTATTTGGTGGGGGCCAGATGGTCCTGGATTCTGGAGGAGAAACGTGTCCCTGGGGGGGGGGGGGGTCACATGACAACTCCCCCACTCTTCGCAGCAACCTTGTGGCATCAAGTTCAGTTCTTCCATATATAAGTTAGGGTTGAATGTGCAGATAGACGTAATCCCCTTCTTGGAACTCCCTCTCTGATCTCTTCATGTCTGCGTACTGCTTCGTTCTGTGCTAGGCCATCAGCAGTTTCTCCTTCAGTCTAGGCAAAGCTTGCTCTCTATCTTTGAGTTCCTCTTCCTCCTCGACCTGATGAGGCTTCGTGGTGCTTGGGACATACGTCAGGAGTAGGAGGAACTCCATACACGGCTTAATAAGGGGTGGTCCGGGGACACCATTTGGCCAAGGGTAGCCATCTCTTCCATGTCTTCGGATGTTTGTTGACGGAGCATGTAGGCTTCCAGAATGCAGTTAAGATCTTTAGTCTATCCATCCGACTAGGGGTGATAGGTTGGGCTCATGTCGAGTGTTGTACCTTGGAGCTCAAAGAGGTCTTGCCACAAAGTGTTGGTGAAGGCCGGATCCCTATCGGAGATGATGCTTGCTGGCGTTCCTTGAAGTATGAATATACCTCCCATGAGGCTATGTAAGGATGTGGCAAAGAAATGTCTGTATTTTGATAGTTGATTGACCACCACCATTATAATTGTCTTTTGGTAACCCGTTAATGAAATCTGATGTAGGGATACTTGGCGGGTCTCGGATCATGCCATGTGGTATCGGCTAGGTCAAATCCTGGCCACACATCACCAACTGCTTCCAACCACTCCAAGGCAAGGTCAACTATAAAAGGGGGTGTTCATCTCAAGGTAAAGACACTTACTTACACTTACATTCAGAATTCCAAGAGAATCATTCTTGGCTATTAAGGACTAAGTTCTGAGCCCTCGTCTCTAGCCTGGTCCAACCCCTCTTAAGCGCTTGGCTAACTTGACCATCAGAATCTCCACCCTTTGGATAACACCCGGGGCCTCTGATGTGTACTCGTCTCTTGTTTACAGGTCAGACCTGTTGGCCTTAGACACTAGTGAAATCTTCTTGTTGCCCTTGGCCTCATATTTGGCAGTAACAATTGGCGCTGTCTGTGGGAAAGTTTTCAACACTTTCCTTAAAAAACAACTTAACTTAATCAATTAAATTTCCGACATGGGCGATAAGCAAGACCACACTCATAGTGCTCAGAACCTAGTCACGATGTATCAATTCAGCTTGATAGGCTAGACACCCTAGCCTAGAGGTTGAACGAGGTAGGGCATCCGACAGGAGGCTGCCCGTAGGGTGGCCACCCCATCAGAAGCCAGGAGCAATATAGTGGACGATCCACCCATGCACCACTGGGTTAGTGCCCGATTGGCCAAGGGAATGCCGACAACTCAACGTCCAACAACAGTAATCGACAGGCCAGTAAGCCCCCATCGAAGACCTCTTGGCTTCCCAGTCGGAGAGGCGAACCAGTGGGGTCCCATGGCAATTGCAGGGACCATGATCGCCATCATCGCCACGTAGAGGGTAGCTGGGACAATGGTGGGCGCTCTGGCCACTACAGTCCTCCTTTGAGGGCTGGAGCCAATGCTCCGCCTCTCCCCCAATGATCGTCAAGTTCACAAGGCTCAGGATGTGGTGACATCCGGGCACTCTAGGAACAGGGCCAACTCTTCCCACGTGAAAGAGAAACTGGATGAGGTCCAGGCCCCCAGATCGACGTCTCGGCGACCTTCAGGCATAGATAGGCGCCATCCAAGATCAAATTCGACAAGTGAAGGAGGGCCGAAGTGATGCTTCCACCAGTCAGAACCCTTCATCCACCCGGATAGATGCCTTCACCAACTCCATCACCTCGGAGCCACTTCCACCTCATTTCAAGGCTCCCACTTTGGAGACCTACGATGGGATCACAGATCCAGATGACCACTTGGAAAGCTTGAGAGCACCCATGCTCCTCTACGGGTACTCCGACGCCTTGGTGTGTCAAGCCTTCCAAGCCACTTTCAAAGGAGCAACACGTAGATGGTTCTCCACGTGCTCCCCTCGGTCCGTCAACTCCTGGGAGCAGTTTACAGATCTCTTCCTCTCCCATTTCATCAGCAGTTGATAGTGTCAGAAGACCATTGTCTCCCTAATGTCCATCAAGTAGAAGCGCGTGGAAAGCCTTCGGGCATACATAGACCGATTCAAGCAGGAAGAGCTCGAAGTAAGAGATCTTGACCCCTCGGTCTCCATGCATGCAACCATCAATGGCCTCTGGCCCAGACCCCTCAAATGGTCCATATCCAAGACCGAGTTCTTGAAAAGGCACAAAAATACATCGCCGCCGAGGAAAATGAAGCTAGTGAATGCCTCCAAGAACCAAAGGCCGAGCCTAGTTGAGGGGCCACAGACACACCAAACATACATATGCCATTGAACTTCACTCGAACACATTTACTGATGCAAGTAGGGAAGGAGGGATACGTGAAGTGGCCGACCAAGATGAAGAGGAACCCAAAGAGAGGTAACCCCAATAAGTACTGCAAGTACCACCGCGACACCGACCATGACACCAAGAACTGCTACGAACTCTAGGATGAGATTGAGTCCCTCATCTGCTACAGGCACCTAAAAGAGTATGTTGAGGGCAACGTTGGTGCCTCGTCCTTGCAACAACAACAATAGGCCAAGCCCTAGGCCCATCACCCCTTAGCTGGAGTTATTGAAGTCATCGTTGGGGGCTCAACCTCGGGTGGAGCATCATCCTCGGCTCGGAAGGCATACACTAGGCAATACAACGTCCAGAGCCTGATGCCCAAAAGGTTGAGTTGCCAGACAGTGCTACACTGTAGCACTAAAAGGAAAGAACTAAGAGGCCTTACTACTAGGAGGGGCTCGGCCTCGGGGACAAATGCACATTCAGCTGTGCCTGAGAAGACGGTACGAGTTGGGTCGAGCACCCAATTAAAGCACTAGCATCGGCGGATTCCCTGATCGAATGCACATTCAGCCGCGCCTTCGGCCATGTCCCCAGAGAGGATAAGAGGCCTCAACCTACCAAAACTCTATTCGTGAGTGGAAGACCAATACCTCGCACCTAGAACTCCGAGGACATCCAGATGTATTATCAATGATGTAAGTATGACTAGTGGAAATTTTGTGAGTAAAGTGTGCAAGTTTCTTTCACCTTGGCTTAAGTCACTTTAGTGTAAACATTCTCGTTTCATCCAATCAGTAGGACCCCTCGGCCGAATGACCGGTCGTAGCACACAACCTTCATTAAGGTTATACGCTCGAATTGGATGTCATCCCAAGGCACATGACTCTTGGAGAGTCATATGCTTAGTCACCTTTTTTAGCTAAGGCAAGAACGTTTGGGATGTCGGCCATTGTTAATGAGTGGCCTATGACATCGGCCTTAGCCTTAGAGACCCTCAAAAGAAGCGAGTCTTTGTGTAGGCCAAAGAGTTGACATCAACCCATCATTAACACAAAACACAATGAACAAATACACTAAATGAATAACGCTACCCCGTCAAGGCAAAGGCGCTCTATGACCTCGGCCGCGCACCATTTGCTGGGTCTCGGCCACGTGTGAGTCTGGTCTCTCTAAGTCCCTAAAGAAGAATACACCAGGTAGGCTAAGGCAATTGCCTCCCTTCCTTTTTGCTAAGGAAGAGGGTCCCGAGACCTCGGCAATAAGGGTCGGCCTTGGCTTAACAACCTCAAGGAGAAATGCCTTCTCGAGTAGCTAAGCCATGAGTTATGAGTTTCTTTGCAAAATATGCCTCTTTGGGGGAGGCATCAGCCCCTTGCGTGAAAGAAAAGAAAAAGCAAGAAAAAGAAAGACAAAGGCACAATTTTGGCAAAGAAGAAACTCAGAGAGATCAAAAGGTTTATACATTCAATATGTCCACTCAATTTCCTTTACAAAAAGAGGCCTTTAATGGGGGAGGCCGAGCCCCTTACAAAAAGATTACCAAAATAAAAGAGGAAAAGTAGTGAAAAATTGTCCAATGGGAGCCTCGACCCTATGCGAGCATCTTCACTTGGCCTCAATGTCAACGTGCTTGTCGGGTACCTCCTGTTGTGTAGGTTGCTCAGTGCCGCCCCGGCCCTCGGTCGGACGTTGTAAGAAGCTTGAGGCCAACTTGGCGACTAAGAGGGAGTAGTTGAGGGCCTACAATGGGAGCCTTGGCCCTACACGAATGTCGTAAGAAGCCTCCTAGACGAAGCACCTCCCATTGTACTCCTCCAATGGGAGCCTCGACCCTACACGAACGTCGTAAGAAGCTTGAGGCCAACTTGGCAACTAAGAGGGAGTAGTTGAGGGCCGCCAGGGCCTCTCTAGACGAAGCAAAGCGGAGGCTTCAAGAGGCGTCCGACTGAGCTGTGGAGGAGTACAAGGCCTCCGAGGCCCACAAGGAGGAAATGGTACAAACTACTAAGCTTCGTGGATACCTTCTCCAGCTACCACCAGATAAAAATGCACATCGATGACGAAGAAAAGACCTCATTCATCACCGAACACGGCATTTATTACTACAAAGTGATGCCTTTCGGACTGAAGAACGCTGGGGTCACTGTCTTCCACTTGTTATTTGTACATACTGCTACAAAGTGATACGGTCCTAACTTTTGGCATTTGTACATAACCTATTTCTTTTCATAAATTAAATGAAGTCTTTAAAGTTACCGAGGTAGACATTCAACCTCTAGAGCCACTGTCTTCCACTTGGTATACACATAGATTTTGTTTTGCTACAGTAGGTGTGGGAACACTAATAGAAAATAAGGAAGATGCTGGATCAACAGCAGACTTAGGCACAACCATTTTGCTCCATTTTACTTAAAATTTTCATCAACCTCTTCCATTCCAGCCCATTTGAATTTTTCGCATTCAGTATTGCAATCATCACCAAGTGTATATCTAGCCTTATACTACTATATTGCAGCAGGCAAATCTAAAAAGAAAGGGGGATTCAATGTTTCCAGGATCTGTTGATACTAAACCTGTTGCTCCAAGGAAGGTTTGTTTTTATTCTCATATTTTATCCTATCTGGAAATGGAATGGTTTATTCTCTCCGTGTTTTCTAATGAGTTATTTTATGTGCCACAGGTCAGATATGCACCAAAAGCTCCTCCTCGTAGAGCACCCATTTCTGTTGGACCTAAAAATGTAACATTATGCTGTCATATTGCATCTTCACATGCCACTGGTTATTGGTTAAGTCCGATTACCTACTTATAACCTTTTTT